ATTTATTTCTTTCTTTTTCTTTTCTTTTTTTTTTTTAAACTAAATGAGTAAATATGTTGATTTATAATGGATAAGCATATATTACTAAGAATGATTAATGATAAAATGTTCATTTTCATGTATTACTCTTTTACATCATTTATAGACTAATTTTAAGATTTATCACATCATCGTTTCTTTGCTTCCTTCTTTTTCCATTCTTTTTAACTTTATAAAAAGTTTTCCCAAATGGATTCATTGATCGATTATCGTTCATAGTTAAAGGAAGAGAGATTAAAAAGTTTACATTTTATTTTTTTTTCTATGTCTGACAAAGCTTCCATGAAAATTGCCAATTTTCCACATTTTTTTTTTTTTTTTTGAATTTCTTCATTATTGTTGAAATACTGCGAGAATAACCGAGAGTTTAGTAGGAGCGTATCATGGTGATAGCTAAAAAATTATCATTTCTTATTTTTATGATTTGAAATTTGAATTAATGCATAGTTTATCATCCTATAGGTTGTTAGGATTGTTTGGTCATTTGATGTGACAGATTATACCGGACATAATCCCCATGCATGTTACTCAGAAAGAGATCTGAAATTTTTACTTCCAATGTCATTTTATTTCATCCACTTAGATTATTTGTTAACTAACGATTAATTGATTTTTAATTGAACAGTGATGTGTTATTTGCTACTTTCTTAACGCACCAAAAATTTCTAAAATAAGTTTCTCACTTTATTATTTGCCGCATTTTTTTCGTTATTTACAAAAAGCAAATTTGGAAAAAAAAACGAAAAAATGGGAGTGGATGAAATCGATCATGTTCTAAGGCTTAAATAACTTCCATCTTATTTATTCAACTTTTAATTGATGACCGGAAATTTGATTGTGAATAAAATGTAAGTAATTTTAGTGAAATAAATGTGAAATGGATAACTGATTTTTTAAGATCGTGTCATTTTAAGTTTTAAATTTCAGTGGAGTGGGAGAGAGGGAGAGAGAAAGAAAGATTGAAAAAAAGAAGAAAGAAAAACAATTTCGGAACGTATTACATTGTGGAGTTGATAGTTGCAAATTATTTAAGTGAAGAAAAAGCGAAAGAGTAACTATCAGTTGCATATCTTCCTTTAACTTCCAAATTAAATTTTTTCAAATTAAGCAGAGAAAAAAAGGGATTAGAATGGATGTGGGAGAAAATGAGCTATTAAATAAAGTTTGAATTGATCGATAGTGAAAGAAAAAGTGAAAAGATATGATTTTAAAAAAAAGAAAAAGAAAAAAAAACGAATAAAAAGTGAAATTGGGAAAGGATGATGAAAAGGAAAAAGTGATAATAAAATAATATTTTGAACAATTTTCCAAAAAAAAATAGTTTTAATACTTTTTATTTGTATTGTATAGAAATAATTTTTATTGTGGAAATTTTCCATTTAACCAATGTAATAAATGAAATATTTTTTACACTAACTGATAATATTTGATGATAGTATTTACTTTTCTTTTCTACTTTTTTCTTTTTGACTATATATTGGTAAACAATTTGAATGAATGGACAGCATAAAAATTATGTAATTTCAATTGTTTACTTATCATTGATTCGGTTATCTAATCAATCAGTCATAAATATATATATATATATATATATATATTAGTTTTAATAAACTGCATACTTTGTATTTCCTTGTTTTACTCGGTTTCCTCCTATTCCACCTCCCCGCTCCTTCCTTCCTATCATTATTTGCCTTTTCCTGCTCTCACCAACCCAAAATCAATTCTCCCCGCTTAAACCCCCTCTCTCCCCGTTTCCACTTAACTATAAAATGTTTTCCATTTGAGATAGAATTTCTTATTGCTTGTTACCTTTCGTCTCACCTCTTTCCTCTTTTTCTAAATTTGATTTTTTTCCTTTTAATTTTTGAAATTCATTCTGAAATTTCGAATTTGTTGATTAATTTAATTATTTATGGTACTGAAAATTCCTTATTCCTTGTTACCTTTCTTTTTACCTCTTTTCTCTTTCTCTAAATTTGTTCTTTTTTCTTTTAATTTTTGGAATTCATCCTGAAAATTTGAAAATTTGAATTTGATGATTGCTTATGGCATTGATATAGAAACAATCCATTAATTGAAATGATTAAAATGAACATAGATATGTCCATTTTAATCATTTTTATGTTAAAATTAGTTATACATTTAGGTTAAAAAACAAGACGAAATTATTGATTAATTCATTTTGTATATATAATAGGAAATGATAAATATTTAAAATTTAAATTAACATCATATTTTTATTTTTACATTTCATTTACTTATTTTTATTTATTTTCTAGTACATTTACTTTTTTACAGTTTTGTACATTTGAAATTGGGCATATTTGAAATATTTTTAAGCTGATTTATGACAGACATTATTTGATGTTTTAGAATTATAATTAAATGCTGTAGTGTGAGTTGAAGTTAATAAAACAGATTAAATTGTTATTGTGATAATGGTGATAATTATAACACTGATAATGTTGATAACAAATAGTAATAATGTTAATCAATCATAATTATTATACTAGGAGTAGTAGTAGTAATAAAACTAATCGAGTAAGTGTTATGAAATGATATGCAGCAAGTATTAATGTAATGTATTCCTAACAACCATTGGAAAATCCGATTAAATCGCAAAATTATAATTATATTCAAATTATTTATTCATTCATTTGTTCACTCGTTCAATTATTTATTGTGCTTTTAACGCCTGGAATTTACTTCACATTTCTTACCTTTTTAATTTGAAGATAACAAATAGCTACCACAGCAATAATGTCATTCTAAACGGTTGACATTTAATAAGGTATGATTCCAATTATTTATTCCAAAAATGGATGTTTAGATGAAAGTAAAATTTTTTAGCAATATTATTAAAATTAGCAAATGTTTCTGCTTTTATTTCTTTTTTTTTTGTAAATAAAATTGCGATAAGAGAAAATGTTACTCTAATTTTTCTAATTCCTATAATTAGAAAAACTAGGATGTTATTTCCATAAAAATTCATGGATAACTTTAATCAGAGAAGTATTGAATTAAAGTAATTAATTGGTGATACAATCAGTTGTATTGTAAAACTTTTTTTGCTTGATCGATTGCTACTTATTTAATATTTTCCATAAAAAAAAATTACTCAGTCATTGGGAGGAATGTCATACTGAATATCTGGATAGTCTTTGGTATACAGGTTTTCATGAAAATTTATCGTAATTAATTTTTCTTCATTTCATTAAATCGACAAAAATTTACAAATGAACATAATGAAAATGAATGGCTCATTTTTTATTCCTACTAATCAGCAAAATTTTTTATAATACTTTTTTAATGCTCAATGGGAAATTATTCATTATGCTGAAATTGAATTCCTTTCATACATTCAAAATTATTAAATCGATTTTAATTTCTTCCATAAAATAAAATTAAAATTGGAGTATTTTAAATATGGCAGAAATTCTATTTGGTTATGAAATGAATTAATCTTTGGAATGAGATGAACGAAATAGTGAATTGCCATTTTGCAAATACCATTATTTAACGTCATCAACAAACTTTTCCATCGATTAATGTCATTCAAAAATCGATCAGATGAGAAATCAAGATGACACAAATGATATAACACAATTTGGGAAAATTCGATTTTATGACATGATTTTATAGTAGGATAGTTAGAAAAGAAACGAAAAAAAAAGTAGCCAATATTCGAATTTGTAAATGTTTGTTTAAAATTTTGAATTTGTTTTTGCGGAATTCTTTTTCTTTTTCCTACAATTTCACTTGTATTTCATTTCTTAATTTTACAAAAGTTCGGCTAAACAAGAATGTAATTTTGAAATAATTCTCAAATTTCATTTAAGACATTTTAGCGTATTGCGGAAATGACAACCATTAGGCAGTGTTAATGCATTGAAAGCTGCGTAAAGCGTTGTCTTAGAAGCTTTAAAGAAGTCAATAAAATTACCGTCATGTATTATTCATAGAGAAAGTGGTTGGTTCAATAATCGAAAAATTAACAAAAAGATTGAATTTAGCAAAGTAATACAGCAGCTATCATTGCAAACTTTATCAAAGTAAGTTAATTTGAAAAAAAAAACAGAAAGCAATTTAATTAAATATTTTAATTATTGGTATATTCATTTTCAGTCAGCATTTATAAGCCCTTTAATTATCACAAATTTGTTGTTATTTTTAATTTTTACCATTATGACAATTATTTTCAGTGCACAAAATATATTAATTTTTATTAGTAGAATTCTTTTTTAAATTCTATTGATAAATACGATTTACACCTTAAATGAAATCTTGAGATGTAGAAGTTATATTGATATATGATGTTAGAAATTCCTTTTGTTTTTTCAACTTGTAGAGCTTATTTAATAAATTATCAATTTAAAAAAAAAAGTGTGCCTACTTTATTCAACGATTGATTAACTTAATTTCATTTTCTTGCATACTTGTTTTTTGCTAATATTATCTAAAAATAATTATTTCAAAATTCTCAAATTTTCTTTCCAAAAAATTAACTATCATTAATGTAATCACCTGAGAATTAACAAAAAAAAAAAAAACAAAAGTTAGCATAATTTGTGATATAATTTCTCAAAAAAAAAAAATGTTATTCTTTTAACAATCATCATGTATGTCAAAAAATGATAAGCGAGAATTTGACGAACCTTCGAACGGGTCAACTTAATTATTCTCCTGAACTACAACATTATCATTTTTAAAACAGGCTTTTTATTTCTACCTTTTACAAATGAAAATTCAATGGAGAAATGCTTACGACAAGTGCGAAGCTCAGGATCACGGCATCGATCTTACATGATATATTACTTACGTATTTTTGGTGCCGTATTTATATTGCTGTTAATTATACAATTTATATCATCTATTCGGTAAGCTATCATTTTCATTTTATTTTTAGTTTTTTAATTAATTAATAAAATTACATGTTAATAGGGATGCAGTAACAATTAGTCTTATTAAGTAGCATTATGATTGATATGATTTAAGACAATGGGTGTAATTAGTAAAAATATGTTGTAATTAAGCGATCTTTTTTTTCACTTTCAAATTAATTGTAATTTAGCAAAAAATAATCAAAAAACTCCGATAGTATATGGCATAGCTATTCCCAACTATTCATATATAAATAAAGTCTAATATCAGATGATTTAATTGATAAATATTGAAAACAATGAATAAAAGTTCAGTTATCATTATAACTGAATTACTGGACAATTGCGCAGTTAAATTAAATCTGAAATCATATTTAATATTAAAATTATTAGAAATATTATTGGTGTATGGCATTTTTGTGATACTTCCACACACCACTTATTTATTAGGTCGTCTTATTAATATATTTGATTGATTTGAGTTCTTATTTAGGTCATCGGATAGATTGAAAATACTTCGGAAACCATCAGTATCACCTCCACAGTTATCGCAAATTATTGTAATAACGCCAACTTATCGGCGACCAACAAGATTAGCAGATATGACAAGGTTTTTTTTAATTCAAAAAACAACAAAATGTTTTAAAATTTCATGGTTAAATCAAATTTAGGAAAAAATACAACAGCAAATCAGAAAAAAAAATTTTTGTCGATCAAGGAGTGAAATTTATAATTTTCTTAATTTGGTTAAATTTCGAATAAAGTTTACACAATTTGATGCCTTTATATTTTAGTTATAATAAATTAATATATTGGATATATTGGAAGGGTTAAAGAACATTTTCAGGATGGCAAACACATTATCACATATTAAAAATTTGTATTGGATTGTTATTGAAGATGAAAATCATACAGTAAAAGCTGTTGAAAAGTTGCTCAATCGTACCGCTTTACCGTATACATACTTTCCAGCTAAAACACCACCAGGTTATCCACGTAAGTTAGCATTCATATCCTAATTTATCAATTTATCACTGATGATAATCGATTAGTGCATGAAAAAATGAGCAAGAACAATAAATTAGTAAGCATTTGGTTCACAGTTAATTAAATTAAGCAAATATTTATGCAATACGGTAAATGTTGCAAAGAAAAAGTAAAATAAATAGAAGAAAATTATTTGATTTAAATTTTCACTAAATTAATCGAAAATCGTGATTTATTTTCTACGATATATAATAATGGAAAGCATTTTTTTTTTCTTAGCTTAAAGTATCATTTATACAAATTTATAATTTTTTAATCAATTTAAACCTTTTTCGATAATTTGAGTTTAAATAAGACAGTAAAATTTGGAGTATTTTCGAAGAGTACGATATAATTGAATGCATTGGCCATCATTCCTACTTGTGAAATTTGATTAAATAAAGATAGCTTGATGTCGATGGACAAAATCAGCAATAAGAATTTACGGTATATCATTTAAATTTAGCTGATAATTCAGGTCGTGGTTGGTATCAGCGAACTATGGCATTGCAATTTTTACGTAATAATTCGGATTTAATAAATAGTAAGTCAGCTAAATCAGTTGTCTACTTTGCCGACGATGATAACTCATATGATATTCGATTATTTAATGATTATATAAGAAACGTACAAAAGGTTGGAATATGGGCTGTTGGTGAGTAATTTATAATTATTTTCTTTTATTTTAATTTTAACCAACTTAAAAAAAAAGACAAATAAAAAGAAATTGAAAAATAATTAAAGATAGT